CTATAACAACAAAGACATTTCGATTTAATTTTTGCCTTGAAAAAGTCGGAAGACGAAACGCGTCGGCAAAATCTAAGATTTTTTTTTCCAATTGTCATTTTATACCAACACGTCCGACTGTATAAATGCAGTGGCGACGCTGTGAATTTATATGCCATCGTTATGCAAATTTATAGCACCATAATTCAGACTTTGACGTATCTCGTATGAATTTATCTATCTGTTTAAGCCAGCTTTCAGCTATAAATGATTCATTCCATCGTATGCTTCGGATTGTAAAATATCAGATATTTTGAACATCATTTATGCATAGAAATTCATGGCGTCCATATTGTTTCATCAAATTAGGTTTTTATCGGTCAATCACCTGATGCTCACTGTCATCTTAATTGCCGGTTCCGTGCTGCTATGATTGTGCCAAAACAAATAAAATGGATATTGGACGGTTTTAGAATTTCAAATGATTTTCAAATGACGGTGTTGGAATCTCTGGAGAAACTCTGAATGTTTCTGTCCAGTTCAGAAGACATTCGATCACCCAGTTTCCAGAGATAAACAGGAGGTATCTACGAGCAAGATGCAAATAATAATAATAATAATAATAATTAAGTATACCAAAACCTAAAGGTGTATAATACTATACCGTCACTTCAGAAGTCCGCGTTGCTTGGCACTTCAAAACCTGAGAAAGTTTTGTATTTGTTTGAGGTCTTACGACTTGATGGAAAAACAAACTCATAATGCAAGATCTCCTTTTTATATCTTTTTTTTCTAGTGATATTCATCCTGTACAAGGTCCGGGTTGCAGAAAAAGAGATAATAATAATAATAATAATAATAATAATAATAATAATAAATTGTTATTAAAGACCACAAACAAAAACGATGCCTCCTTATTGATATGGCACTCCCTGCAGACTGCAATGTATCTTTGAAGATATTCAAAAAGTTGTCAAAATACAAGGACCTTGAAATAGAAATCTCAAAAATGTGGCATATGGGAACATCAACAATCCCTGTTGTAGTTGGAGCCCTAGGACTGGTTGGAAAAGATTGCAGTAGACTAATTGAAGGGATTCCTGGTAGTCCATGCCTCAAGGAGATACAAAAAATTGTTCTGACAAGTACAGCCCACACCTTACGAAGGGCTTTATCTATGTAATTTTTTTTTTTTTTTTTTTTTGTCAGTGGAAAGTGTCATGACGCCATTTCTAACCTTAGGTCTCTGGGCGGGACCCGGAAAGAAATGTATAAACACCAGAAATCAAAGAAAATAATAATAATAATAATAATAATAATAATAATAATTATAATAAGCGACGTATGTGCAGTGGAAGATATGCAAGAATTACAAAAATTAAAACTGCTGAGAGATAGCATGAGCAACAACTAGACAAAGTTACCCAAAATAACGATGTAACGATCCTCTGGGACATGCCAATGCAAATTCACAGGAAAATAAAAGCGAACAGGTCAGATATTATCATAAAAGACAAGAAATTAATGTAGTATATGCTTATTGACATAGTAGTACCATGTGAGAGAAACACCTCTATAAAAATTATCGAGGAATTGTCCAAATGCAAGGACCTGGAGATCAAGATTAACAGGATGTGGGGAATGAAGACGTTGACTGTACCAATAGTTAATCGGAACTCTGGGCCTCGTGAGAAAGGGAATGGACAATTTTACTAACAGTGTCCCAGGTAACATCAACATACAAGTTGCCCAGAGGATAGCCTTACTAGGAACATCCTATATACTAAGAAAAGTGCTATCAGTTAAATGACAATTCTCCTATAGGGCCTAAGGGCTATAGTTTGAACCCGGCTCTACAGGATACAAAGCAGGAAATATAACACACAAACAATAATAATATTAATGATAATACAAAGGTGGAGCGAGAAGTTCATAGGCTGATTATGAAGGGGTGATGCTAGAACTGTGAAATCTTGCATGCGTTAATTTCAACTCTTTTTAGTATTGTTACCTTCCAGGTACGTGTGTGGGCTGAAAAGTTCATAGGCTGAAAAGTTCATAGGCTGAAAATGAAGGAGTGATTCGAGATCTGTGAAATCTTGCATGCATTCATTTCAACTTTTCTTATTAATTACTGCATTGTTTCATTCCAGGTACGAGGGTGGGCTGAAAAGTTCATAGGCTGAAAATGAAGGAGTGATCCGAGATCTGTGAAATCTTGCATGCATTAATTTTAACTTTTCTTATTAATTACTGCATTGTTTCTTTCAGGTAAACTGACATCTAAACTTTCAAAGAATAATCTTCAAACTGCTGGTCAATAAATTCATCAACACCTGATATGATCTCATCATCTTCGCGATTGTGGTCCTCAGCGTGTTTTTTTTTTCATGTTGGGGAACAAATGATGTTAATTCAGGTGAATAGGGAGGGTGATCAACTAATTGAAATTCACAGTCGCTCACAGCCGCTATTGAAAACCAAGCCTCATGCTCTTTGGCATTGTCCTAATGCAACATGGCCCCTTTCGTCTGTCTTCCTGACCATTTCATCTTAGATATTCGTAGCTGCTACACTAGATATAGCACACTTTTCTTCTGGTTTTGAAATCTTGGAGCTTTTTAACGCGCACATGATTTGTCGTGGGCAATTACGATGGTTTACAGTAAAAGAGGTCCCTCCACCAGATCGCTAAAAATCAACATACCGTGATGTAAATATGCCCCAAACATTATGAAAATAAAATTTTATCGTTAAAATCTTTATGCTATTATTAAGAAGAAGGATGAAAATATTTTTTGATGATTTAAATATTTTTTTTTTTACTCCCTTTTAGAAAATTCGAAATGTTGATTAAAAAAACCTGTTTTTCTTTCGTCGGCGGTTGTACTAACTTTCATCATCTCAAATTGTCGCCTCTTTTTTTGTTGTGGCGACAGACACATTAATTTGGAAATTCTTGCAGAAATCAAATAATTGATCGGATTTTAATAAAATTTTCAGAACTTATTCACAAATGAATAAAATTATTTATGAAATTTATTTTATTAGAAAATCTTAGTAATTTTTTCTTTTACATGTTTCAATCTCTTATCTAATTTTATGAAAACTTGAGAAATTCAGCTTGATAATTTTTAGTGACTATATTTAGTTAAAAGAAGAATTCTTTGAAGAATTCAAACCATCGAATTTTCTTTGCAAAGTAGTAAGCCCGCCTTATCAAAGCCTATCGCCATATTGCAGGAATTTGGTTGTGACATCATCTGTCCGACACACACTTATCATTCATGTTTGGCAAAGTGGGTTTCGTATAACTGTAAACCACTGCCACATCTTTTTTTCTTTTTGGGGGTCTGTCGATCTATAACTTAAATTTAAACACGAAGATACTTGTGTAAGCGTAGCTTAGATGTGGAACAAGGCAGGAAATGTTGAGCACCCAGGGAGGTTCGAACTCACTATTCATTTCTAGCGAGACAAGTGTGCTAACCATTACACCATATAGATGTACCCCCAAAATGTGATTTTTTGTGAGGAAATAATTATCTACGCGTAGCTTAGATGTGGCACAAGGCAGAAAATTTTAAGCACACGGCGAGGTTCGAACGCACTATTCAGGTCTGGCGAGACAAGCGTGTTAACCATTACACCACGTAAAGGTGCCCCAAAAGGCGATTTTTTTCTGAGTGGCTTAGATGTGGCACAAGGCCGACATTATGGGGCTCAGCGAGGAAATAATTATCTAAGCGTAACTTAGATGTGGCACATGGCAGAAAATGTTGAGCACCCAGTGAGGTTTGAACTCACTATTCAGTTCTGTCGAGTCAAGCATGTTAACTATTACACCACGTAAAGGTTCCCCCAAAAAGTTGATTTTACAGCGTTGCTTAGATGTGCCAAAAGGCCGAATAGAATGGGATATACAGTAAGGATCGAACTCAGTACTCAGCCGTAACTTGCTAACCATTGCACCACGTCGAGGTGCTCTAAAAGCTAAATTAAGTGTGCTAAATTCGACTCTCCTCTGTAGCACACTTACGAAGCCAGTCTGCGTACAGAATGCTCATTAAGAGACATTTGAAAGACAATAGAGCCATCAAGTCACGCATTATCACGCGAGATTTCCGTATCGTTATCAGAAGCCTCATTACGTGGTCTTGTTATTTAATTTCTTTTTTTGTGTGTTTGTTTTTTTTTTTTTTTTTGGTAATTTATTTTCTTGTGCAAAACACGAATTGGAGAAGACAAAAAGAATTAAATAAGATTAAAACAAAAAAGGCAAAAAATAAATAAATAAATAAAAATAAAAGCATGGCTTATCTTAAGTCTTCAGTTAGATTCAAACTATTCACTAACGCGTTACTGAACGAGCCGGAGACATTTTTGACAGTCGCTTGCCGCGTTAGAATATATTGATCGAAGGAAGCGTTATTTATTCGGCCATTAATTTTGTTTGCTTTTTGACACCATGGCATTGTTTAATTAAAATCTGTTTGCGAATATGTGCGGTGTTAAATTCTGTTTGTCCCTAAGAGCGTTCACGTCCACACACACACACACACACACACACACACACACACACACACAACACACACACACATACACACACACAGACAGACAGAGAGGCTTATGGCCGTACTACGTTAAAATATCGGTTACCGTACGATTACTGAACGTCTTGTCATCTCAGTACCTCGATGGATAACAGCTTGGTTATACCAGAGGCTGTAAGCTGGGATGTGCGGGCGATATAATGGCCTCAACGGACACGTCACGTTTCGGTTTCCGTACGATTACCGAAGTTAAGCAACGTCGAGTCTGGTCAGTATCTAGATGGGTGACAGCTTGGTAATACCAGAGGCTGTAAGCTGGGATGTGCGGGCGATATAACGGCCTCAACGGACACGTCACGTTTCGGATTCCGTACGATTACCTAAGTTAAGCAACGTCGAGTCTGGTCAGTACCTAGATGGGTGATCGCTTGGGAAGATCAGTTTTGTAATCTTGGATATGCCTTACAGACACGACAGTTTCCGTACGATCATCGAAGTTAAGCAACATCGAGTCTGGTCAGTACCTAGGTGGGTGACCACTTGGGAAGACCAGCCGTTATAATTTTGAACTCCGTACGAACACCGAGTTAAGCAACATTCAGTCTTGTCAGTATGGGTGACCGCTTTAGAATATCAGGTGTTATATGCTTGGATATGCGGGTAATATAATGGCCTTACCAACATGTCGGTTAAGCAACGTCGAGTCTGACCAGTACATAGATGTGTGACTGCTTGGGAATATAAGGTGTTATAAGCTTGGATGTGCGGGTGATACATTGGCCTCGCTGATACGTCACGTTGAAACGCCGGTTGCTGTATGATCACCGAAGTTAAGCAACGTCGTGTCTGGTCATTATCTAGCTGGGTGACAGTTTGTGAATACCAGGTTTTATAATTTTGCATGTGCGGATGATATAATAGACTGACGTACAGGTCACGTTGAAACACCGTTTTCCGTACGATCATCGCAGTTAAGCAAAGTCAAGTCTGGTCATTACCTAGATGGGTGATCGCTCGCGAATATCAGGTGCTTTAAGCTTGTATGTACGGGGGTTTAATGGATAATGAAACGGAACTTGTTTTTCTTTATAGTAATGTTCACCTAGTACAAGGCCTGGGAGCCACTCGTGGCAGATGGGAGTGAAACAGTATATGAGTGTCGGGAAGATAACGGTTAACGCAAAATTGAACAGGTTGGAATGTAGTGATCGAGAAAACACCCTCATGAGGGTCGGTCAAAGAAAAGAGTTATTCGGAGATGCGAGTTTCAATTCCAGTAGGGTCCGTTCTATTCACTTTAGAACAAATGCCCTTCGTATTTCTGCATCTCATTCTATTTTCAATTCTGTAGCGTATGCAAAACGAAGATAAAAGTAGAAGACAAAAATCTTGCCAAGGTTACTGATGATAATGACCATAATCTTCATGATGCTGATGATGATGATGATAAGGTGATGATGATAGTGGTGGTAATGATGGTGATGATGACGATGATGATAATGTTGATGATGATGATGATGATGATTATGGCGACAATGATGATGACGGTGATGGTGATGTTGATGATGATGGTGATAATTATGGTGATGGTGATGATGATGATGATAGTGATGATTATGGCGATGGTGATGGTGATGATGATGATGATGGTGATGATTATGGCGATGGTGATGGTGATAGTGGTGGTAATGATGGTGATGATGACGATGATGATGTTGATGGTAATGATTATGGCAATGGTGATGGTGATGATGATGATGATGATGGTGATGGTGATGATGATGATGATGATGATGATGATGATTATGGCGATGGTGATGGTGATGATGATGGTGATGATTATGGCGATGGTGATGGTGATGATGATGATAATGGTGATGATTATGGCGATGGTGATGATGATGATGATGGTGATGATTATGGCGATGGTGATGATGATGATGGTGATGATTATGGCGATGGTGATGGTGATGATGATGATGATGGTGATGATTATGGCGATGGTGATGGTGATAGTGGTGGTAATGATGGTGATGATGACGATGATGATGATGTTGATGCTGATAATCATGGCGACAATGATGATGATGACGGTGATGGCGATGAGGATGATGATCATGATGGTGATGATGATTATGGTGATGGTGATGGTGATGTCTGTAGTGATGATGGCGATGGTGATGAAGATGATGGCGGTGATGATGAGGTGATGGTGATGGTGATGATGATGATGATGACGGTGATGGTGGTGATGATGATGACGGTGATAGTAAAGGTGATGCTGATGGTAATATATATATATATATATATATATATATATATATACAAAGAAATAATCAAACATAGAATCAATCAGTAATATTAATGGTATTATTTCTTTGACTTCCATTGCTAGTAGTGTATAATGTATGCATTAAAATACTGTTAATCCATAGATGAAAATGATATGATCGTCATCTATAAAACTGTTGTCTGTTGTTTCAGTTAATATTTTTTAAAATGCAAGTATTTTTCGAAAATAATCCTCTGGCGTAATTTACATCGGTTGAAATGGATCTAGCACGCCTCATATGAAGCAATTTGGGATTTTGTTGTGTAATAATATATATATATATAGAGAGAGAGAGAGAGAGAGAGAGAGAGAGAGAGAGAGAGAGAGAGAGAGTGAGTGAGGCACGGTTGAGTAATGGGTAGCGGATTGAGGAATCGTAGAGCCGAGTTCGAGTTCCAATCGAATCCATTACATTCACTTACGTGCTAATACCCTTGGGAAAGGTATGAGTCCTCTTTTTCCCCTCCAGCTATGGGTAAATAGCAAGAGAGAGTGGGTTCTATAGCCTTGGATGGCAACTTGTCTAGGAGAAGGACAACTGTGAATTCAAAACCTGCGGAGGGTCGTTTGGCGACCCTGTGTATCAGGTCTCCGTATTCGGCCCTTCAAAAAAGTATGGATGGTCCTGCACGAAACCTTCACCATTATAATCAAATCTTATGTGCTGGTGTCAGGCTGTCGGTTTCCTGGGAACTGATCTGCTTGACCCTCATACGTCGAATTCGACAGGAGAGTCATATATAAATTTGTTTGTGTAATAATATATATATATATATATATATATATATATATATATATATATATATATATATATATATATAAAAGTGGGAACATGGCAAGTCAACACTTAGCGAGGCGACAGTCTGATTTCGAAACCTTCACCTATCAAATGCAATCGTCAGCCCAAACAGATTGTGCCTCATACGATTGCATATTATATTATATATATATTGACTTATATTTACACACGCTCTATCTCTGATATTGAGCACTTTATCCCATAAATATAGCACACCTTAAGACTATATTTCTTTATATATATATATATATATATATATATATATATATATATATATATATATTTGAATAAAAAACAGACCGCATTAAGATTCCATGTAATAAGCTATTTAACCATAACCCCTTTAACAGGGTTCTGGTTCATCAGACTTTACTTCCAAAAGCTGAAATGAAAAATGAAAAGAAATTCACACGTTTTTGACGGACCTCATCAAGTATACGTAAAATTAACGAAGTGAGGAAGTGAGGTGGGAGAGAGGATATGAGTATGTCATATGTATCATTTCAATTTCCTATTTTTAACCTCAGTGTGTCGGCTAGATGTTGCTCAAATTTAACGCGTCTCGTCTCTAGATATAGATGGCTAAGGGGTGAATGAGAAGAACGACATTAAAGGAAGAAGTTACAACATTGCCGGATTCATGAAATATGTTCGTATGCAAGAAAATTATAAATAAATAGAATTCCTTTCTTCCCCATGTATAATTCGCATTTTTTTTCTAAAACATCAGAAGCAAAATTAGGGACGCGTATTATGCACAGCTACAAAATTCATTAAAAAATTGCCGTTTCATAGGTCGATTTCGTTTGCAAAGTGACTACTCACCACAAACATACGACAATTTGATACTAACATTCAGCAATTCCAGACCCCATAAGGATGTCAAATAAAATCATATGTACCTAACAATACTTACAAATGTAAAATAAAATAAGAATTATCATAAAACTAAATTAGAATAATATTATTCTATGTTTAAAACCATTTTTTAATAAGATTAGGAAACGCTGACCGCAATAAAATTGGAAAGGTACAATTTATAAGGTTTGATTACCAAACAAGGGGTGCGTATTATGCGTGCGTAGAAGCATTTTCCCATACATATATAGCATAATTTTAAAGGTGCGTATTATAGATGAAGGCGTATTATACATGCGAAATTACGGTAATCAAATCTTCCTCGTCACTCTTCACTTCAACGAAGCATATATTAAACATTGCTGCTACCAAAAATCCATATATATATATATATATATATATATATATATATATATATATATATATATATATATATATATATAGTCTGCGGGTGTGTGTATGTCCGTTCGTCTATGTGTGTATGTGTTCTTTCCATGTTGAGCCTACTGATAACAGAAAATCGATGTGTACAAAGAAAAGATAGTCTGATATTCAAAAATGGACAGTATTGTTTTCGTTACCGGCTTGCGAACAATGTTCACTTACCAAAAAGATATTGGTATTCATAAAGTTACTTACTGTTGTTTTTTCCCCGACATTTGGTTTTTCTCCTTTGTTTTCTCTCCTTTCCTATCTGCATATATATATATATATATATATATATATATATATATATATATATATATTGTGCATTTAGCCAGCAATTCTTCATTTATACATGTTTAATTAAAGACGACATACAAGGTACTGCGATTAAGCTTTTTATTTAATTTTTCTTGTGTTCGAACAAGTGTTTTCTGGGCACTGAGTGTGAAAAAAATGATCAAATGTTCTATATTTTTCTAGCACTTCCGGCAATAATTTTAGCCATTATCAAGGATGGTTTTAATTTTCCTTTTTAATTAGGTGTATGGGTTGTGTGTATTTTTAGAGCGTTATAGGGATGTTTTATTTTCAAAACACAGCAAAACTGGTGCCGTGTTCGTAGTTAATATTATTGTGTGTTGGCTTTTTCTTCTTTTTATTATTAAGGCTTCCATTATATATGTGAGTGAAACTTTATATATACAAGGAAGTTCTCATTTCCTTTTCTCTCACATTAATTCCCAAATAGTTGCTAATTTCTTATTCGATAGTTTGCCACAAGGGCTCCAGGATGCCTGTCTCCAAAGAATAAAATATCCAGATAAATATATTAAGATATTAGGCATAGATATTGATTTCCTTCAACCCTGAGAGCTATAATTTCCAACTATTCAAATGTAATGTCAATCGACATCTCCAGTTACCTTGATCTACCCACTATCCTTCTCCTCATCCTTTCTTCTATCACTCCTATCTGCTCTCGCTCCAAATCTTCTGCAACCCCCTGCATCCTAGTGGCTTCACGTCTTGCTCGGGGCGTAATGCTTAAAAAAAAAAAAAAAGGAAAAAAAAAGTGATATCAAGTCCTCTTTAGGTAAAAATGATTTTTTGCTTTGATAAAAATGTCCTAACTCTCTGAAGAAGAATAAAAGGGGTCTTTCTTTCTTTCAAATTATCTTCCCTATTAACCAACAAAGTGACAAAAATGAAAGTATGCCCAGTGAGATGGACAACTAGAAGAAATAATCAAGATGGCTTGATTATTTCTTCTAGTTGTCCATCTCAAGAAAAACAGTGACACTGCAGAGTGTGTACTCATATTTGCAATCTCTCATAAAAAAAATATTGGAGATTATTTTCTCTGTTGCCAGACAAGAGAGAAAATACAGGGTGTATCAGAAATACCTCCCACATAAGGGTAAAACATTAGCTTCATGAAGAAACCATTACCACTAATGTCTTACCATTATTTGGGTGATATTTCTGGTTGGTATGATATGAAGAAGGTATTCCTGCTGCACCCCGTATATTGAAATGGCTCTTGTATTTGTTAACAGATATTATAGTGTAGTTTTCTTTCTAATACTTAAGAGATTTTTAGCATGAATATTCCTTTTTAATTATGTAAATTTATGTAAATTAAATAGGTATTTTTTACAGATGGTTGACGCAAAAAAAATTGTGGTTTCTACTAGTAGGATTCGGATGGAGTCTGGTAGGTTCGTGTGTGTGTTTAAATGGATTCTAATGGAGCTCTGGTCAGATAGGTGTCAGGTAAGGCGTCTGGATAGGCATGTAGTTGTGTGACCAATGTAATTATTTATGAATTCGGTTTGATAAGGAAGAATTCTTTAAATTTGGACTCATAAATAATGTTCGTTCGTTGTAATTTTGATTTTGTGATGCTTTTCTGTTTTTGAGGATAAGGTTAACCGTGAAACTTATATATATATATATATATATATATATATATATATATATATATATATATTGTTTATACGCCATTTCTATAGATACAAATATTATAATAAATAGTATTAACAACATTTACCGGCCTGAATGCCCGAGAAATTTCATATAAAATTAATCATGGGTAATTTGTAGTTTAAGAACAGTAATTTGACCTTGCTAACCAGACGCTTCCTCTGTAGCTAAATTGTATAGCACGTCAGGCTATATGACGGTCCCGTGTTGGTTAAAGGTTCGGTTCCTGTCGGAATGCACACATTCTCTATGAAATTTCTCGGACATTCAGGCGGATAAATATCGTTAATACTATTCATCATAAACAGAGCACTTACATAAATATTTGTATCCATAAAATAACGTATATATATATATATGAAACATGGTTAGAACTGTGTAGCGGAAAGAAACATATTTTAAATCAATTAATTTATAATATTAATGCTCTGTAAATTTACATTGAGCACTATTTTGTAAAAATAAAAATATCTATAAGAACACCGGATTATATATCTTACTGTTCTTTCTTTTTATATACATACATACATATATATATATATATATATATATATATATATATATATATATATATATATATATATATATAATATATATAAAATAAAATAGACAAAGTGCTTTGATTTAGTTTTTTTATACAATGTTTCATGCGAGCTAATTTTTTTTCTTTTCAGATAAATTATATGAACACTGTCTAATTGTTCTTTTTATCTGAGTGTTTTCGGCTAAACATTTAGCCATTTTCAAGGATGAAATATTTTAACTGTTAAATAAGAAATAGTTTGATGCGTCTATGTATGTATATAAT